TACAAACACACCACACATGCCTGTTGCACTTAACAGACACAAACAGACAGACAGACACACACACACAAGCACAGACAAACATACACTATATGCTAACATCGACCATAAACTGCACATCGGAATCGAAAAGCTCTGGCAAAGATATTCCTTCAGGATTCGTTTAGTTTTCGTTTTCTTCTTTTCGAAGTGGATGGATAAGATTTCGGCTCCACATTTATGTTGGTTATTCCTCTGCTGCAACTCTTCGAAAGCTGTTTTAACGCAGTTTCATCCAGAACTGTATTAAGGGGACTAATTTCAAGAAGCAAGTGAAATATTAGCGTGGGATTCTAAGACTGCGAAAAATGCATCGACTTTTAAAATCAGTAATATCCGCAATCACTACTCCAGATCCGAAAAAGATTACCTTATTCCGAATCCAAAAATTTTGCTGAATGTTACATAACTCTTGATTTACTAGCGCAAATTCATCGAACAGCCGATGGATACTAACTGAAAGTATGCAACTCAGGATCGAAAGGCCTGATGGTATCCGCGCAGCCAATATGTGAAAACAGCCTGGTGATGTTATGGGATCACAATACTCATTGTCCCGGCGACCGTCGTATTCTTGGATTGAATAGCAGATAGTGTTTTGCCAAAAAATAAATGGAAGAACTAGATGTTTTTGCATATCTAATGATTCCACTGATAATACTGGGTATATTCGGCAATATCAATATCATCATTGCTACGGCGCATCAACGAAATTTGCATAGTCATAATACCATGCTGATTGCCATCATTGCTGTTTTCGATCTGGTAATAGTTTGTGCTTTAATAAGCTGCTGTTGCATTGAAGCATTCCATCGGTCCAGACGCTGAACTTTTTTCACGGTCATTTACACTCCTGCCGTGAATTCGCGATGTCCACCGATTGTCGGCAAGGCGAGTAGCAGAACTCACTAACTGGGTTTTACTTCCTCGCGTGGTTGCAATAATGCCGGAAAGTGTGACTACCTGCATGGTTATTAGGAAACAAAGACCAGCTATTTACAGTTGTTTCTTCATTTTTTCAAGACAAATGTGAAATTGCTTTTTATCTGACTTGGGATCCTCAGCCTAACTAAGAGAAAATTACTAACTGACCGTAGTTATGCCGAGATCTTCTGTTCTGGATATCTGCAAAAAGTTGTGGATTGACTGGAGTGTTAGGCTATTTTCCTGAAATGTATGTGACAGGCAAACCACGCGAAAACCGTTGGATAGTCATGATTATCTAACACCAATAAAACCAATAATGCTTCTTACTTCTGAAGCAGAGCTAGGAAAAGTGCAATTTTGTCATCTTTTCGTATTAGTTTGGGTTGCTTTGATGTAATTAGCGTACTTCTGAAACATCCAGA